GGAAGTCACGAGGGAGCCAAGTCCTGCTCGCAGGTTCTCTTGGCTTTTTCCTCCAGGTGAACACGTCCAGGAATCCAGTATCGCAGCCGCCGCAGTATAGTACTACTGTACTGTGTAATAGTAGCAGGAAATCCACGTTGTACGCCGGTTGTCCAAACAAAAGATTTGTGATTCCGTGAGAGAAGGAGATACCACCGCCGTCGAAGGGTCGAGGGCACTGTCTGATGTAGGCTGTGAGATAGATTGTGCCACCTATGTATTCTTAGCCTGCCCGCCCGTGAGGGTCGTGACGAGGCTGCCATGTGTGTGTGTGTGTGTTCCCACCACCTTTGCACCGATAAACAAGCCGTTTGAGGATCGCTTTCGGTGCGGAAAAGTGCACAAGCTGTAGCGTAACAAGGCCATCATTCCGCACCCAAGCGTTTCTCATTTCGTGCCCGCGTCGCTGCGTTCGGTGCCGATATGTACTCTATTCACAATCCGTTTCATCGATAACTGCGCCAATTGGCGACGTTCTGCAAAAAACACGAGTGCCCAAGCCTACTCCTAACAGGTGAACACTTCTCCCGTCGTTGTTTCCTTGCACCAACCCCTAAGTCACTCGTTCACACCCGGTTTGTCCTCTCTTTGCGGCGTCCTTCAACTGTCATTTGGGACACGTGTGTGTCGGTATGGTTCTGCTGCTACGTGTGTGTCGGTTTGGTTCTGCTGCTGCTGCTGTGTTCTTTTTTTTGCCTCGTCCACACCGTCATGGAGACAAGCGCCGCTGCTGTGCCTCCTAACGAGAAAGATGCCTGATGACGAGCGGTGAGCCGTGAAGGGTAGTACAGCAATGTGTGCAAACAGCACATTGTGTGATAAAAGAGCGCNCGTGAGAGAAGGAGATACCACCGCCGTCGAAGGGTCGAGGGCACTGTCTGATGTAGGCTGTGAGATAGATTGTGCCACCTATGTATTCTTAGCCTGCCCGCCCGTGAGGGTCGTGACGAGGCTGCCATGTGTGTGTGTGTGTGTTCCCACCACCTTTGCACCGATAAACAAGCCGTTTGAGGATCGCTTTCGGTGCGGAAAAGTGCACAAGCTGTAGCGTAACAAGGCCATCATTCCGCACCCAAGCGTTTCTCATTTCGTGCCCGCGTCGCTGCGTTCGGTGCCGATATGTACTCTATTCACAATCCGTTTCATCGATAACTGCGCCAATTGGCGACGTTCTGCAAAAAACACGAGTGCCCAAGCCTACTCCTAACAGGTGAACACTTCTCCCGTCGTTGTTTCCTTGCACCAACCCCTAAGTTCACTCGTTCACACCCGGTTTGTCCTCTCTTTGCGGCGTCCTTCAACTGTCATTTGGGACACGTGTGTGTCGGTATGGTTCTGCTGCTACGTGTGTGTCGGTTTGGTTCTGCTGCTGCTGCTGTGTTCTTTTTTTTGCCTCGTCCACACCGTCATGGAGACAAGCGCCGCTGCTGTGCCTCCTAACGAGAAAGATGCCTGATGACGAGCGGTGAGCCGTGAAGGGTAGTACAGCAATGTGTGCAAACAGCACATTGTGTGATAAAAGAGCGCCGCGATTGCTCCCTTTCATGTGACAACATTGATGTGACGACACGGCCGCTCATGGCTGATGTGTACATTTTCCTGCTGTATTCCGCAAGTAACTACTGCTGCTGTTGTTCTCGACAGCAGCGGCGCGGGTTCATCATGGTTCGTCATCAGGTTATGTATGTATGTATGTGGAGATCATCTTCCGCAACAAACTGCTGCTCGTGTCGATGGATGTCCATCGTAGTTCGTGTGTAGCCTTTTCCGCTTCCGCGACTGCTGCTGTTGTTGCTGTTGTTGTCGACAGTACCTGCTACTGCTGCTGGCGTTGTCAAGAGCAGTGTTTTTGTCGACAGCAGCAGCGGTGCATGTTCATGTGTTGTCCACAGCAACTGGTGCTGCTGGCGCTGCTGCTGTTGGTGTCGATAGCAGTGTTTTGGTCGACAGCAGCAGCGGTGCATGTTCATGGTTCTTGTTTAGACATTCCAAAACACTGTTTGCTGTTCGTTGTTGTCGACAGCAGCGGTTCACTATTTGTTGTTCAACTGCTGTTTGTTGTTGTCGACAGCAGCGGTTCATGTTCNTGTTGTCGACAGCAGCAGTGTTTTTGTCGACAGCAGCAGCGGTGCATGTTCATGGTTCGTGTTTAGACATTCCAAAACACTTGTTTGCTGTTCGTTGTTGTCGACAGCAGCGGTTCACTGTTTGTTGTTCAACTGCTGTTTGTTGTTGTCGACAGCAGCGGTTCTTGTTAATGACGCCCCTCCCGCCCTCTGTCGTGATTCCCCTCTTGCGCATTCCCCTCTTGCGCGCCCAGGCCGAGGCGCAATTGCCAACCAAATATACGTTTGGTAGACCAGGTTGGAAGCACTCTAGAGCGCGTGACCAGAGGAAGCCGTGGGAGAGGACGTGGCAGAGGGACAAGGGGAAGAGGGGGGGAGCGGACTGCGGGAGAGCGGCGTGGGCGCGAACGCGGACGCGGACATATTCGTAGTGTTAGTGTTTCTTATGGTCGTTTGTTTGGGGTGCACATGTATCGGATCCACATTTCCGATTCGCATCAACAACATTTCGGGTGTGTGTACCAAAACAAAAGCAACACATATTCACGGGGGGCTCACGACCCAGCCTACTGCAGGTCCTTTCCGCAGCACGGGTTATCCTGTTGTGATGGTGCGCGCGGAAAAAACTCCCCCCACTCGGGGTCTAGTATTTTGATCGGTTTCCGAGGGCTCTTTTTTCGAACGGTCGGTGCGATACCTGTTCTTTTCTTTCTATCATTTTGTTTTCTTGTTTCGAGTGGTTTGTAACCTATTTTTGTTTTGTTTCCCCGCGGCGTCGTATGTGCCGGGTTTTGAGACCACGGGCTCCCCATTTGTTGTGGACTATAGAGCTAAACTTGAGAAACAACAACAACAACGTGGCGGTGAGGATGCACAGACGGTG